ATCTGAGTGGTCGACACTCGTCGGTAATGTTTAGAGACAAATCGAGCAAACTTAGAAAAATAAAACAGGGGGTTCCACAGGGTGGTGTCCTTTCCCCGCTACTGTTTAACTTTTACATTTCAAAGCTCCCTCAACCACAAGAGGGAGTCTCTCGATTGTCCCTTACGCCGACGATTACTCGATCATGGCGACTGGGAATGGAATTGATGACCTGTGTTCGAAAGTAAACGGTTATCTCTCTGAACTTTCTCGCTTCTTCACTGCAAAGTGTCTAGCCCTCTCCCCTACGAAATCCTCTGCGACCCTGTTCACAACCTGGACGAAGGAGGTGAGGCTACCACTAGGAATTAACGTCGATGACACCCCAATTCCGACGGTGAATAATCCTAAACTACTCGGAGTAACATTCGACAGTCTGCTCTCCTTCTCTGCGCACGCAACCGCTATTGTGAATAGGTTCGTTCGCGTAGCTGTTAATTGTTCATATTTAACCAAAACTTACAAGTTTTTGTGTTCGCGTACGCAAAAAACTTGCAAAGTACGTGAAATTGAGAGAGCAAAGTGACATTTCATTTTGAGGGGAAGCTGCTGGTTTCTGCTGCAAAAATTTTTGCCAACAGGAAAACAGCTGATCAAAAACAGCTGGTTGGCATTTACGCAAATCACAAAATTGAATTTGATGGTTTGGAAGTTAAAAATTACAAAATACGACTAATTAAACTTGTAAGAAATAAGTAGTTATTTGTTTAATCAATAAACTGTGTCAGTAAAACACTTTGTGATGGCTTTTCGTACGTTTTAAATTTTACACTTTTGAATGTAAACAAAAATTATATCAGCTGTTCATCTAATTTGCAAGTTTCTGCAAATTTTCTGTTCGCGTACTATTTGGGATATTTTTCTCTTGTGAGAACAGATGACATTTCGCCGAAATTTGGCAGTTGGTTGGTTTCTGCTGGAGATTTTAAACGAACGCACCTAATAAAGTACAGAGCCGCAACAAGGTCCTCAAGTCGCTAGCCGGCAGTACTTGGGGCAAAGACAAAGAAACGTTGCTGGCAGCATACAAGGCAATAGGCCGGCCGGTTTAAAACTACGCAGAACCAGTGTGGTCGCCGGGGACTAGTAGGACGCAGTGGATGAAGCTACAGACGGTACAAAACACAGCACTTAGGACAGCGACCGGATGCCTCCTGATGGCACCAGAACACCACCTCCACGATGAGGCGAAAATGCTCCCAATTAGGGAGCACAACACGCTGCTCTGCAAGCAGTTTCTGGTTGGGGGCCACAGATGTGGCCACCCAAATAGACAGCTGCTTGCACAGGAGCCCCCCACGAGGCACGTCAGGAGGCATTTATATGAACTGACGGACGAAGTCAAGAGGTTCATTAAACAGCCTATGGACCCGTCAGCTTACAGACAGGCCCTTAACGGGATTCACAGGGACGAGTTATGTAGACTAAAGACCTGTGAATACCGTTCTAGGCACACAACCACCGGACATTGACGCGACGGAGCTCCATCTGCCTCGGGAGACCAGAACAACAATAGCCCACCTTCGGAAAACCCCACAACCCTAACGTTGTCGTCCCTGTGGACAGACCCCATAGAGGCTGCACGCTTCTTGGAGCTGCCGTTAGTGGAACTCGACGATAACGACTGAGATATTAGCCGATCTGGGCGGGGTTGTTGTAGCCGCTACAACAATAACAATAACAGCGGCTCCGCTGACTTGGCCATGTCGTTCAAATGGACACCGACGCTCCAGCTCTGAAAGTATTCAACTCGGAACCCGCTGGTGGTAGCAGAGGAAGAGGGAGGCCCCCCACTGCGATGGACTTGGCTTTAATTGGCGTCAGGAGAAACGACTGGCGTGCTTTGCTGAACTCTGCCAAAATCGCTTAGGCGGTTACAGCGCCAAAAAAGAAGATTTATAAGGTTTACACAATTAAAAGTTTATGGTGCATTTACATGGTATGAATCTGTTCATAAGCCGTATGAATTTTCCTATAAAAGAAGCACCAACTCTATGAAGAAATGGATGAAAGCGATATATATTTAACAATTTTGACTTGTATACTAGACAATATTTTTTTTTGTAAACAACAAATAAAAGAATTTTATTTTGTGCTAGCTTCGAAACTAGAAGCTTATTTTTTTGTTAAATGTGCTTTAAAAAGGACCTACTGCCAATAAAGCCTTGTAGATTGCTATTTTTCCATATTTGTAATGCTTCCATTTAAACATCTTTGTGGAAAAACAGTTTTTTGTTCAGAATTGCTTGTTTACGAAACGTTTGGCATAAAAATGTATGGCAAAATATGTATGCAATACTTCTACATATCTTCGTTTAAAGCACAAAACCGCGCATCAAGGAAATGCAAAACCTCGTATGGGAGGTTGCCTAAATTTTGAAAACGGTTCTCTCTTTTAAACTTAATAATCTTCTCTCCTTATGTCTAAGTCGATATTTTATTATATCGATATTTTATTATAAATGGCTAAGGGCTTGATGTCAGGAGCTTCCGATGACCAAATATCTTTTTTGGCACAAATTTCAGTTCCGAGGTTTTGCAGAACCACGATACGCGCTTTTGTACTTTAAACGACGAATATGTATATCGCTTGAACAATATGTTAGTGTTTGGCCTAGCTTCTCCTCCGATATGCGGCGTGCGTGATTTTGTCACACAAAGTAAAGGACAGTTTTACGCCGACTCCGAACGGCAATTGTATTTTAATGAGAAGTTGTTTCCATGACAGAATACACTCGGAGGTTTACTATTACCAACAGAGGGGCAACCACTATTAGAAAAACTAGGCTTGAACTCAGGCTCTGCGTAATGCTCTACAGCAGCCGGCACTACTTTTACATATATTGCTGGTATATTCAAAATACTATCCCGAACTTCGGAGTGTATATATGTAATATAAAAAAGAATGAGAGATACTATAAGAAAATACACCCAAAATTCTGGAGCAAATGAAAATATGCTCATTGAAAATAGTTCACATGTATAAATTAAAAGATATAACTTAATAGGTTACAGCGCTAAACAAAAGGAAAAGTTAGAAAAAATAGCAATGCGGTTTGAAGGAAACATGAAGCCGTAAAATGCTTGTTTGTTTCGTTAATACTCTGAACTTTGTAAGATATGGCACTCTATTATTTGCAGTAGTTTGCAAATATTCACTAATGGTTCTAAAATCGCAAACATTTTCGTGGGATGTTTTTGTTTGATTTCGAATTGAAAATACATTACGATCATATTGTACCGAAATAAGTGCGGTATCTCTGCATTTTTGTAAAAGCCAGAAAGAAGCATAAACTGTATGAAAAAATGAAAGGGAGAAGTATACATGCCTTCTATACATGATTCAATTATTAAAGGTTTTGTAAGTAGCTTTTTTCTAAAATTTGGCACTCCCACCCACAGGGATGGTTTATGGAAGCAGGAGAAAAAGGGGAAGAATTCAATCACACTTCCTAAAATGGGAGCTAAATTCCATAAAAAGGTGTGGATAATAGTGAATGGTGGTATTTTAAAACAAAAGCGAATTTGATTTAATTATTTAATTTAAACAAGCTTATTTACATCGAATATAACCCCCGATTGTTATTGAAAATAAATATTTCTATGTATATACCAAACTTGCGTACGTCAGATGGCGCATAACTCGAGAATGGATGGAGGATGGTCCACTTTCAGCTTTTTTTTTGTTGTATTTGTTTGCCAGATGATGGATATGAAGAAGCTATTTGTTTGTGGAAAATATGCAGTATTTATTAAACAAAAAAAAAACGGCAAATATAAAAATTTGGAGCTTACGTTTCCTTCGCGGATATGGCTCGATTGTTTCGAATATGGTAATTCGAATTCTTTGATGTCGCACTTTTAATATTCTGGGGAGACTATACAACTGTCAGAATATTAACCATTCGCCGGGTTGCCCGAAAAAAAATTTAATGATTAAAAATATCAAAATATAAAAATATTCGCCATAAAAAGGCGTTTGCATTGTTCAACTTTGCATTCTACTTTCAACTAATCGCTTTCAACAAAGTTGGTCGCCAACCAACATTCGCCTCGTGCGTAAACCTTTTAAGTGTGCAATTACATACATCGTGCCATTGACTAAACCGAACTGTCGTGTGACGATTGGGCCTATGGATGCGGTTTGGCAATGTTATATTGCGTCAAAGCCTCATTCGGAGACACCAGGATACCTGCGTTGGCTCATTTACCAAAACCATTGCATGCTTTACTTTACAGCGACTTGGCAGAATCAAGAGGTCTCCACGAATATCGACAAATATATTTCGGCATTTAAGGGAATTTCGTTTTTTTACATTGAATTTCTGTAGTCCAACGATGCTCAACCATTTTGTCTTGTTGGCGCCAGCGAATGAAGAACAAACATTTCTTCAATTTTAAAAAGTAAAAATTTCACTACTAACAATTTAAAAATGTTCTTAAAACTTGCAAAGATATTTGGAAAAGAAATATCACTGTTTTTGTTTTTAGGAGTAGGGTGGGAGTGTCATTGATAAAATTAGAGCGAGAGAAAGTTTTTCTTACAAAACCTTTCATTATTGAATCATGCCTTCTATAATTTTGACTTATATGTATATTTGTATATTAAAGTTCTAGTAGTAGTAGTTTGTTTATTGTTTTTAATTTTTAAAATTCATACTTTTGACATGTATGTGAATGGCGGAGTTGCCGCTTTCCTCCTTTTCGGTGGGTTTTTATATTAAAAAGGCATCAAAATGGGAAAAACCTCCCTTGGTATCTCTGCATCTGTTAAATTTTTTATGGGAAGATGTATGAAAATTCAACTTGCTATAATTTCATATGCTTAACAGTATCACAACAGTATGTTTACAGTATCTCCCCATAACTTTTCATATGAAAAAATTTATTATATGCATCCCACTCCATATCATTGAATTCCTCATTAGAACATGTAGTCCCTCTATTTTAACGTATCAACAGTTCATATGGCTACATACCATGTAAATGCGCCATTATACGGTTTACAATGCATTTATAAGGTTTGACGAATACCCTTAATGGAAGACCTTTTAAATATCGTGAAAAAACTAAACGAATACTTCTTTGAGTAACACATACATATTTGTACATATCTTCTTTAACTTGAATAACACCGTTTTTGTTTTGCCGGCGAAGCTTCCAACCGTTTGCTTTTCCTGAATTGGTATTCATTGAGTTGTTTGTTTTTGTTTGAGGGTGCGAAGTCAAAGCTTCTTACGAGTGTTAGAATTTTTTTCCCCTTCTTCGAAGATCAAGGATCCTTGAGCAAAATATAACAGAAAATTTATATTTGTGTACCGAAAGCAAAATACATGCAAGTTTTTGTTTTTGTACTTCGGCTATTAGTTCGCCTAAGGAATTCATTTCTAATTAGCAATGTAAAATTTACATAAACGCGTAAACGATCAAAAATCATTTTAAAGGCATTTTTCATTAAGTATGTATACGTACACATGCGATCAGCTGTGTCTTTAGATATGGAGTGTCCAAGCTGTTATTCCTATCAGTATTGAACTAAGAAATATTGCAAATTTATTCCCGCTCGGGAAACTTCCACTATTACAACCATCCTTGCTATTACAAGTGCAATATTCCATGAAAATGTTGTAGCTTCCTGTGCGCATAAGGCAAAAGCGTTCATCTCCTTTAATTCCTGGTTCACCCATGTAGGCACAACTTCGAAAATACCTCCATTCACCATACATTTTTTGACGAATTTTCCGGCACATTGTCGGCCGAACGCCAGGCAAATGCAATAATTCAGGCTCATGCGCACAATCCGTAATCACCAAAGAACTGTTATCAAAAGGATTACCACATTTTGGATCATTATCGGAGCGACAGTCCCAGCATTTAATTGTCGACCCTAAAAAAATTTGCATAAAGTACTTCGAAACAATTCTGTACCTCATTTATACTTACCCAATTGCAATAAACACATCAGTAGTGTGCTAACCAGTACTGAAGATTTTAAAGGAATCATCTCCAATAATTCTTATTTTACCGGGGCTGAAGACTAACCGGGAATTAAAAAAAGGGAATTAACATTACAAGTTACAAGAAGAAATTCAATTTTAAATAATCAATTTATTTACGAAAGTGTCCCCACCCAGAATTATGGATGTGCTGAATATAGGAACACGAATTTCGATACTATACGATACCATATCGATACTTTTGGCATTCGATACCAATATGTTTTACTCGGTAGATTTAAAACGATATTTTTGGAACAAAGTACCAGAATCCTAGTATCGTATTGAAAGTCATAAACTCAAATTACAAAGGTAAACAGCCCTATTCTGTACTACGCACGAACTCCCGGTGTGAACGGAAATCCCGTCACGAATTCGGGAAAAATGCTATTCGCAATTCCGACGTTTTCGTAGTTAGTTCTGCCTTAAATGCGCACTAAGTTCGAATTTGTGCTACCAAATTTTTAAATGAAATTCAGCTGATTTTTGTTTATTTTGTAGGTAGCAATTCAAAGGAACCTCAGATTTTCCTCTGGCAAAGTTTAAAATTAAGTATTTAAAGAATAATACAGTGGATTCCTTTGCGACAAGAGCGCTATTAGTAGAGAAAGAAATAAAAATGCGGTAAAATAGGTACTGGATGTGGTACAAAACGTGGATTCCTTTGCGACAACAGCGCTATTAGTAGAGAAAGAAATAAAAATGCGGTAAAATAGCTACTGGATATGGTACAAAACGTGTTAGGGCTAAGCCATAAAAATGCGAAACAGCTGTACGTTATACTGAGCAAAATTAGTTTGGAATTATCTAATGAAGCAATGCAAATAAGGCAAGGTGTAATTAAGACTTTGTAAACAATTAATTTAAATTCATTTCTATTTTGCATTAGTAAAGAAAGATATCAACTTAGACGTCATTCCCACGACAGCCGGTTCTACGTACCGGAATGACTCGGGTTTTACCCGACCAAGGGCTGTTGTTTCGGCGATCTAACCACGTTGAGGTCAAACCCAGGGCCAGAAATCTACACCTGCTGTGTATGCCGGAGACGACTACACCACAACTCCACCTCTGTCAAGTGTAATGCCTGCGAGGGGTGGAGTCACCTTAAAGTCTGCTCAGGACTACGGACACATAGACAGTGGACCACGTAGTACGTGGCCCCCTGTTGCTCAAACAGAGCAGCCTCTACGGCCAACCTCAGTCCACCCGAGCAGCCCCACACAGTCACAACAACACAACAACATAATAACACCACAGACCATACCACAGCCACGACAGACAACCGCAACACCACCCACACGCCGCCGCCAACTCCTGGTTCCCCCTACAATCTGCACGGTATGTCAGACCAGGATATTCCGTAATGTGACATCAGTCAAGTGCAACACCTGCCTTGCCTGGGTTCACTTTAGGGCATGCTCAGGTCTGCGTACCACGCGAGATTGGACTGGGAACTTCAAGGGCCCGTGTTGCGCTGCTCGGTCGCAGACCCCAACTGCGACGCCTCCCGCCACCACCACAGGGCGGCAACCATCACAGCAGCGCACACAGCCAACGGCGGTAAGAACACACACATCACTTACACCCCACATCACGACACGTGTCCCGAACCACATGAAGCTCCTTCAATTTAACTGTAACGGGCTACAGAGCAAGATTGAGCAGATACCGTCTTCATGTGTCGGCACGGTATATTGATAGCTGCGGTCCAAGAGAGTAAGTTGCACAGCAATTCAACACTGTTGAATTGTGCCGGGTACAACGTGCACCGTCGAGATCGCGAGCGAGATAATGGTGGTGGCTTAGCGTTCATCACACACCACACCGTGCAGTATCGTCTTATCGAAGCAGACATCGACCGCAGGGATACCACCCTAGAATGTCAGGGCATCGCTATCCGGTCAGGCGATGTTGAGCTCGAAATATTTAACATATACATACCCCCTCTCACCTGCTGCCCGGCAGCATATCACCCTGATATAGGTGCGCTCCTCAGAGGTGAAAACCGTATGGTAGTAGGTGACTTTAATGCGCACCACGATCTTTGGCACTCCAGCCTGTCAAACGATCGTAGGGGACTTGGCTGAGCAGATAGACGATTCGACATTATGCACAATGAACGACGACGCACCCACCAGGATTATGGGTAACTGCAGTAGCTCGCCAGACATCACCATAGTCAGCGCTGGTCTGATAAACAGCATAACATGGCGACCTATGCTGACTTTAGCATCAGACCACCTACCCATAGTCATCTCGATAGATAAACCAACCTACTTTGCATCCGCCAAACACCGGACCTATATATAAAACACCTTCATCGCGCTCCCCACACCAACCGACGTCCATCTCGGTGAACGTAAGTTCCGTAGGGTTGTCACTACTGCTGCAGCTCGCTTCATACCGGCAGAATGTATAACGGACCCACGTCCAAACTTCCCTGCCGAAGCGGCTGTTCTAGCCGATGAGCGTGATAGCTTTCGTCAGGCCGATCCTGGAGATCCCCGTATCAGGGATCTCAACGCGGAGATTCGGCAACTAGTAAACGTACATAAGCGGAAGAAGTGGGAGGAGTATCTGAAGACCTGTAACCTCACTTCTGGTGTGAGCAAGCTTTGGTCAACCGTGAGGTCGCTGTCCAATCCGACGAACCACGACGACAGAGTCGAAATTTCCTTAGGCGACCATGCTTCGTCGGACCCGGAGCGATGCGCGAGCTATTTTAGCCGGCAGTTCATACTGCATCCTCCGGTGGACAAAGCCAAGCGCCGAGTGACCAGAAGGCTGCACAAACTGCCAACAACCTGTGCCCCCCTTGCTTTCACTTGCGGTGAAGTTCAGGTGGCCATCGGGAAGGCGAAAGCCTCCAAACCCATGGGTCCCGACGGAATATGCATGCTGATGCTGAAAAATTTGGGTCCTGCGGGGGTAGCGTACCTAACGGAGGTCCTCAACTTGTCTATGGCCACTCTCATCATCCCAGACATCTGGAAGGTGGGGAGAGTGGTCCCACTGCTCAAACCGGGGAAACCTGCCAACAAAGGAGATTCTTATCGTCCGATAACACTCCTTTCCCCGGTAGCGAAGACACTCGAGGCCTTGCTACTTCCGTACTTCACAAACCACTTGACCCCAACGAAGCTTCAGCATGGTTTCCGTAAAGTGCACAGCACAACAACAGCACCTAACGCCATAAACACTCAGATAACCCGTGGCCTTAACCGAAACCGTCCCTGTGAGAGAACGATTCTAGTAGCGTTGGACTTGTCAAAGGCGTTTGATACCGTCTGCCATTCCACGCTACTAGAAGATATAGAGGCCTCCTCTCTCCCACAGAGGCTCAAACGGTGGTCTGAAAATTATCTGAGTGGTCGACACTCGTCGGTAATGTTTAGAGACAAAACGAGTAAACAGAGGAAAATAAAACAGGGGGTTTCACAGGGTGGTGTCCTTTCCCCGCTACTGTTTAACTTTTACATTTCAAAGCTCCCTCAACCACCATAGGGAGTCTCGATTGTCTCTTACGCCGACGATTGCTCGATCATGGCGACTGGGAATGGAATTGATGACCTGTGTTCGAAAGTAAACGGGTATCTCTCTGAACTTTCTCGCTTCTTCACTGCAAAGTGTCTAGCCCTCTCCCCTACGAAATCCTCTGCTACCCTGTTCACAACCTGGACGAAGGAGCTCAGGCTGCCGCTGAGAATTCACATCGATGACACACCAATTCCGACGGTGAATAACCCCAAAATACTCGGAGTAACATTCGACAGCCTGCTCTCCTTCTCTGCGCACGCAACCGCTATAGTCAATAAAGTACAGAGCCGCAACAAGGTCCTCAAGTCGCTAGCCGGCAGTACTTGGGGCAAAGACAAAGAAACGTTGCTGGCAACATACAAGGCAATAGGCCGGCCGGTTTTGAACTACGCAGCGCCAGTGTGGTCGCCGGGGACTAGTAGGACGAAGTGGACGAAGCTACACTGCCCAGAACACCGCACTCAGGACAGCGACAGGATGCCTTCTGATGTCGCCCGAACACCATCTTCACGGCGAGGCGCAAATGCTCCCCGTAAAGGAGCACAACATCATACTCTGCAAGCAGTTCCTGGTCGGGAGCCACAGAAGTGGCCACCCAAACATACAGCTGCTTGCAGAAGAGCCCTCGCCTAGGCACGTCAGGAGGCATCTATATGAACTGACGGACGAAGTCCAGAGGTTCATCAAGCAACCTCTGGACCCGACAGCTTACCGACTGGCCCTGAACGGCATTCACAGGGAGTCAGTCTCGAGTTATGTAGACTCTAGACCTGTGAATGCCGTTCTAGGCATACCGCCGCGGACGCAGACGGGACGGAGCTTCAGCAGTAGGTTAAACTCCTACCTGAGTAGATTGAATGAGGATGTGCCAAATGAGTGTCCGGCATGCGGAGAGACCCCACATGAATCGAAACATCTATTCGCATGCCCGGAAAACCCGACAACCCTTACGGCCTTGTTCCTGTGGACCAACCCCGCAGAAGCTGCACGCTTCCTAGGGCTGCCGTTAGTGGAACTTGACGACAACGACTGAGATACCAACCGATCTGGGCGGGGTTGTTGTAGCCGCTACAACAACAACAACATCAACTTAAACGTAATGTATTTTCATGTATGAATAAATATCACAGTCTTATCTCCTGCAGTTTATAAGGCGATCCTACATAAATATTCTGCCTTATCCTGAGTTTCGCCTGAAAAAAATTCACTCGAAAATTTGTGATCCGCCCATGGTATAACCATGGAAAACAAAACTGAAAAGTGAAGCGGTTCGGTGAAAATGGAACTTATGATAAGGCTGATTTTATCAATTTCATATCGGTTTAACTCTACCCTGTTATGAAGGCGCATTTCTTCAAAAATTCTTGCTTGAATTCTAGCAAAAGATTCGTTATGTGAATGGCCTTGATTTGTTGAAAAATATATTTTAATTTCTACACTATTGCCCTTAATAAACCCTTCTTACATTTTTATTTCCTTCAGTGTAAAATATCCACTTATAGCCAGTTTCACCAGCAATTTAAGTGGAAAGTACTTTTTCACTTAAATTGCTTTCGTGAAATTGGCTGTTAGTTTCTTATTTGGCTTTTTGTTTTTTATATGATTTGGTTGGTTTCAGTTATTTTATTACTTCTTCCAATAAACA